TATGGCTGGCACTACTTCTGCCTCCTATTATATAATGTAGCCAATGATAAGAGTGACTCTATTTTGTACCATTGTTTGCGTGGCGACGACATGGAGTGTGTGAGTCCGCGGTGTAGTAGCTCCTTTGCTTTTTGTTGTTTAACAGACCTTTGAATTTTGATTTTTGTGTTGTCAGCGTTTCGTTTACCATTTGAACCATGACTGCGACAGAGAGAGTCACTTCATTGTATTGTTTTGTAGCCCTGCATGTGCTCCTCAATGCTCACCTTTTCCGTTTCAAAAGACCACATCGTCAATTAGTGGAGCTCAAGTCAACGGGGCACATGCACAATGGAGAGTACAAGAATAATGAATAAATGCAATGAAACCGATACGGTCGCCTCCTCCCATTACCCCACCACATCATCGTCTTTGTCTAATTTCTATTTCCCTTTCAATGCATACATGTGCTGAAAACTTTAACAACAGAGAAATAACATCATCATGAACATCATCAACGTTTATGCGTTCACCTACCTCTGGAACGAAATTGTTGCAATTCCATTGAAAAACTCCACTTTGCCAAAATTTTTGCCAAACGATCTCAAAATAGCTTGAGAAATAAACAACTGAACTTTACATTCACCACCAACATCACCGCTATTTGTTTACATTTACTTTGTTTAAATTAAACATGGTCCTTTCCACCACCTTGGAGTTTTTGGGTGACAACTTACACACACTTCCGTGTCTTAAATCAGTCTTTTATTTTTGGAAGGATCGAAACACGACAATATAACAGATCACCTTGGCAGTGTGAGACAACAAATGTCTCGGGCAAGAAAGACACGCTGACAATTATGTATTTTATTTACCACTGAAGAAAACTAGGCCAAAACTCGCTGACAGTATATTCTTTCGAAAGGTGTGCAATATTATTATTGCTTCACCAGCTTCTTCTTATAATCCATCCAGCCGTATATTATTCATATGGACTTCTTCACACAATAAAATAAATCCTTAATCATAAAGTTACCACCAAGACATTCAGTCACTAACTGACTAAATCGTCTCAATGACTGGATGAGCTCTGTTCCGACAGTAGGCAAGCAGAAGAAGAACACAGCCCCTGACCTTTTGCTCACAACTATCACCACCACATGCATCCATGCCAGAGAGTGACCAAAACCTCTTAATATTTAATGACAACATTTATACTTTCATCATCGTCACCACCATGGACCGAAAACTGCTCGAGTCTTACTTCTGTATATCCTTGACATGTGGGATGATGTCCTTCTGGTGCTGGAGAATAACTATGAATTACACGTCTTCTGCCTGCAGTGCATACCCCACAATGAAATTGCACTTCTTTGGTTGGATGGCAAGAGATTGATATACTTAAATGTGGCGAGTAACGTACAATGAGGATACCGCTCCGTCACTTTATAGTGTTGAGGATAAATTTAATTCTATAAAATTAATGACTCCTTCAATTCACTAAGTTGTCGTTTATTTTTTCGTGGTCACTTTGGATTAGATTGCAGAATGTCGAGTCTATCTCTTGGTCCAAGCTGCTCCTTCCTCCTTCTTCTCGTATGCCTTTGTACATACAAACATACAAACTACACACACGTACATAAACGACGGGCAACAAGATGAGCAACATTTTTTTACGACTTGATTTATTTCTCCACCAACCAAAGTTTCACTAACATTCCTCATGTTTAGTGCTGCTTGTTGGTATTGGTAGCTGGCCAATAATTGGCAAGAGTGCATCTCAACTTCAGCAGGAGCGGATTAGGCTGGAGATTCGCATTTATTTGTCAAACAAAACTTCTTGAGTGAGATCATCTTCAAGAGAGAGAGAATAATAATTTAGTGCATTTCTAGCCCTATCAAACATCATTAGTCATTCTCTGAGCTCCTGGAAAGAGACACATTTATTCACTCAGCCAACCAGCCTGGCAGAGGCAGGCAAATGTATACGATTAGAATTTTGAAATGATAACTTGAATGCCAAACTACTGAATCTCAATATTATCTCACATCACAGTGGCTTGAATATGCTGAATTTATTCGTTTTTTTTGCCTCCTGCCTTCTCCAACGGAAATGTTTCTCTCGCTCTCTAATAAAAACTAACTCCCATTCACGCACAGCAGACCAATCAAATGTCACACATTTAGATTATTTTGTATATTTGTTTTATTCCTGTTTTAGCAATCTTAAATCCTAATGGATCCCTGCGTACGTAAGCATGTATGTAAATACGTTACTTTTTTTTACTTCCGATTTATTCATTGGATTGTAAACAGAGAAAAATAGTGTTTCAGTTGCATACATACATTAAGATAAAAATTGCCATTTCATGCTCCCTCTGATCTGACAAGTGACAACACCATAACACCGCTTGCAGCACCATTGCTACACAGAAATAATAAATCGAAAAGCAAATTCCATCCGTGTCCCGTGTGGTGCGGGTATAATAATAAGTTGGCAAATATATAAAATAAGGATTCTCTGAGAGAAGGAGAAGTGTAAAATGTTGTAATTCATTCGACATTCGAACTGCACAATGGCAAACTAATAAGCAAACAATGGAATACAAAATATTTGTTTGTGTGTGGCAGCCGTCAATCAATCTTGGGTATTTTATCATTATCTGCGTTTGCTATTTCCATTACCATTTTTATCGTTAGATATTTAATATTTATTGCGGCGTCTGGGCGGCTGCGGTGGTACGGACTTTTCACTTTCCTTCATTCAGCTTCCATTTCCATCATCATCATTATTTAATGCCGACACCGTATTCCCATTGCTCATTGTGTGTTGGTGAAAGGAGGAATGAAATTTGAGATTCGTATCTCGTGTCTCAAATTATTGTCATTTATATTTTATGACCTGGATGTATACACAAAATGGGAATATGTCAAGTGACAATATCTCGGCGACTATCTCATGCACTATATTATGCTCGTTTAGCCAAACAAAGTTTCACACACGAGTCGCGCAATTGTGGTAATTATGTTCCTCCACAACGACCCAATGTTGTTGCTAATGAGCTAATACTGGACGAAATTGGTGTGTCAGTAGTGAAGGCGTAATGCTATTGCTCCCCGTCCTCAAGTGCTAATTCCGGTAGCGAGAAGTTCATTTGTGGAGCAGGCAGCAACACAGGAAGGTGGGAGCACTATTAATTAATTAATAATTCATCGATGGGAGTCTTACTCGTGCCCAGGATTCTGTAGTGGTTTTCGTTCTTTCGGTTTAGTATTCACTAGCCGAACCAGGTAGCAAGTTGGGCACTAAGTTGGTAACCTATACGGCATACACGTCCGTACGTATGTGTAGTGCGGTGGTTCATCGGTTTCCTCAACACGGATTACATAATGTTGTGGTGGCCCAACACGGAATAATTGGGAAATGCATTAATATTTTCACACACAAACCAACATAACAAAAGCAGCAGCTCAATCCCGACAAGAGGATTAGAAATGGGTTTAGGACTACACAATCTGCTATTTATGCAGTGGCGAATTTAATGTTTGCTAATAAGCTCCTCTTGTGTGTGACTGAGATTTATATTTCTGCACGTTCCGTTACATGAATGGGCTCGTTTACAGATATATTACAGGCAAAATAGATACATACACACGCGTGCACGCATATTGTGAACATCCAATATGCACCGTGATCCTACCGCAAAGGGAATAAAAATGAGCCCAACTCCCAAGTGTGATTGTGTGTCATTGCAAAGCGAGTAATCAATAATTAATTAAACAATTAGAAGCCGTCTACCCCACGCCCGTGCTATGCATTTGATGAGTGGACAAAAAGAATAAGTAAGGGAAACACTGCTGCGGATAACTGTCACAATTAGCACATGGTTTTCCGAGGTGTGAAACTCCCCATGACTTTAATTATGTTTAAACATTGACTATTTCTTTCCACACTGCGTCCCACGATTGTTGACTAGTAAACGAAACATGGTAAACAATTTCATTACCGTGTGTAACCTGTAATATATACGGCTTGCCTTACGGCCTGTGTACGTATGTGAAAGTATGTATGGTAGTAATTCCGAGTGCATGGAATAAAACAATAAGTCCCCATTCATGAGCCGTGTAGTTTGCTTGCGTGAAGACAAATAGTGCTGGGATTGATTACTTAGCTGACCTTTTTGGTAATTCTTGGTAATTTATTTATTTAAGAGATTAGTGAGGAAAGACAAACGAAGGAAAATCTAAATTGGTCCGTTGCGTTTTAAGTTTGCATGACTAATCCACACTGATTTAAGTACAACAGCTTTCCACTGCACAATTCAACCCCAGATTAAGATAAGAGTCACAACGTTTCTTTTCGGCGGAGAGAGCTGCATGGTGCATGCGAAATCCAAATTTCTCGGTGCGTCGAACCAAATCAACCAAACCAAACCAAAGCGAAAGTATCGAACATTTTACTCAACTTGAGAAATAAAATCAAATTGAAATGCCTCGCACACACACAAATACCGCAGTTAAGCTGTCATCCACATTATTATTTCTACATTATTACCATTATTAGCGAGAACCCAGTCTTTGAATTTTGTCACAATTTGACACTCTTTATAAACAATACTTTTGTTATTAAGTAGGTTTTTAATGCTCGTAAATAATGGTAATATGCTAAATTATATTGACTCCAATTTCAAGCCGAACACACGAATATTTAATGGTTTTGTCATCCATGAAAAAGTTTGGTTGTTAAAACTTTGCTTTTTATTTAACCAAAAGGGAATATGCAAACTTCAACTCTGTTTCTTTGTCATATGAATGAATGCGAATATGAATATGAACGAAGAATAACTATGTTTTGCAGGAGAAACGCTTATGCAATAATTGCATATTACGTGAAGCATGTTTAATTTAACCGTTTTTGGTAAAAAAAATGCATGTATGCATGAATGCAAATATGATTTGGTATGATACACTTTTGCTACATTTTGTTGTACTCCATTTTGATTAAAAAGAATTTTTTGCACCTGAATAATTTTGATACTCCATTCTCGTATCCCATGAAAGGATCCGTCTTGCTCTGAAGGTTTTAATAATATATCACCAGGAGCAAAACCACTACTTCTGCACACATCCAAATTCCACCCACTCGAACACGGCGAGTATAACAACCCACCCGACGAAGAAGTGTTGTTGTTGACCAACCAACTCCCACACAAATTGATACCAGTTTCTTAAAAGAAATCTTGGAATTGGTGCAAACTCACATTTTTCAGCACGGACCATGCACTCAGCAGCACTCGCAATAAAACAAAGTTGTGTTCTTTCTTTATTTCTGTTGCTAGCTAAAACTCTGCCCCACGGATGAGAAAAACGGAGCGAGAGAGTATTTCGTAAAATATGTTGCCCACGAAGAAAGGTTCGCGTTTGTAGGTCCGACTACTTGGTGGGGAAAATGTACTGCTCTCACTCTTCTCGTAGCTGGTTGGTTTTTGGGTTCAATGAAATTTCCTTTGCTACTCTGCAGCCTGCGCTGCGAGGACGACCAGGAGGGCGACGATGAGCTGTGCAGCGAACGGGTTCTGGAGAGAGACTGGCTGAACGAAGTTGTTGGTGCGGAGGGAACGACGACGATGGCCTCCTCACCAATAATCCAAAAGAGTGAATTCAACCAGACCCCACCCGACCCTCTCCCCGAATGCCCGGAGTGCTGAACACCCTTTTGATATCCACCCTCATATCCACATCCTCATCTAAGGACCCACAGACATCTGCACTCCAACAGAGATCCGAAATTGCACATATCATCACTTTAATATCCTCATCCTCCGGCTCATCATTTACACAAACCAATTCCTTAACATCCTCAGAAGAAGAAAAGTAGAAGAAGAAGAGGCTCAGGATGATGAGGAGGATGGTTCAACCTGGTCGACCCTATTACAGACCTTGGATCATTCCACTTGAAGGGACGACGATGATCTGGAAAAATACCTTCTCTCCTCTTCACAGACAGACCTTCATCTAGCTTTCAATAACTGAAATCACTAGGATGGATTTAGCCCTGCTCCTCGAGATCGTATCAAAAACGAAACATGCTATGAAACCCAAAATATGACACACGCATTGACATGGACTCGTATGTACAATGCACATACATACGTACATAGTGTAAAAGGATAATAATTCTTACTATGCGAATACACTTCTATAAACGCCATCGAATAAAATACATGGGACATATGTACATATATGTACACATATGTACGCATGTATGTCATGTATCGTTCGCATTATGCTACAAATTTTTGTGAGAAGAAACGAATGTTTCCATATTACGATGATGGGTGAAAAGGTTCCAAATATATATTAGAACTTTCATGACGTGATGATGATCTGAGTGCGGGACAAAGGAACATGTAAGGGCCACAATTAGAAGGGTTCGACCTTTTTTAAACGTTGGACGTTAATTCCACTCACTCATCTCATCCTCTTTTAAATCCTTTGAAGTTGTAAAAAAGTTGGTCGCATTGTTCCTTCCATCACTTTTTGTAAATATCGATACTGAGCCATCATTTATTGCTCTTATTCTCTCATGCTTCTCGCCACTTAAGCCGAGGCAAGGCGATCCTTGTACGTTTTAAGTTCCTCTAATCCATCATCAGTCCATCCTGACTTATTTTATTGTTATTGGAGCTAATTGAACCTCAAGATATGCATGCATTCCTTTTCCGACCCACTGACTGACCCAACTCTTCATGTCCATCAACTCGCGATGATGATGCCGACAGTGCCACGGTGTGAGGGTTGCTTCGTAATGCCAACTTGGTGGATGGAAGTGGGAATTATGTAACGAACGCTTCCATGCATTTAGCTTCACACAACAGCAAGCAACTAAAAGCCCTTGTCAAAAAATATACCAACTCATGCAAATGCGATCATTTATTTCGGGTGGTGGGCCACATCACTCTCTCGCGTATGCAAGAAAGCAGCTTAGATGTTTGACATCATAAATTCCTGGCCGAAATTGGTCGACTTTTAAAGTAACAACATGGGAGGAGGGAGGCTTTCAAAATCGAGATAAGAAATCAATTGCTGCGAGCGAGCAATTCCGCATGAAAATACAATTCAATTCATTCATTCAGCAGAACGGAAAAAGCACAACAAACCAAATAAGAAAACTGGATTTGTTTGATAATATCGATTATCGATGTTTTGTACTATTTGCATTTGAGGACACTGAGAGAGCAGGAAGAAGAAAAGGCCCACAAGAAGAGATGGTTTGCTGGCTGGCGAGTGGTGGTGGTGGTCGTGGCGATGGTGGTGGAGAGATTTGCGGTTGCCACTGATATTAACAAATGGGAGTCGTTAATTAAATGGAAAATGGAGAGAGAGTGAGCAGTGAAAGAAGCCTGAGCAACCTCGTCCCAATAAATCATCGACAGCGTCATTTGATATGAAACGGAGAGAGCGAGTGGATATCGGGGAGGAAGAAAGACAAGTCGTCCGAGTCAGCAGTTTCCTCACACACACATTACATTTCACATCGGGAGATAGAGAGAGGAAAATTAGGGTGAGGAGGAGACTCTATGCTGATGACGATGATTTCGAACAGAATTACATACGCATTGCTATATAATAACGCATCCAACATGGATATTCGAAGCCATTCATACTGTGGTGGCGACAGGTATTAGTCGTATCAGTCGAGAGGATACTTGTCGGGTTTGGAATGCGGTTGAATCAATTCAAATGCAAAGGATTAATTAATTCTGCTGTAGATTTGGTTGCAAATCCGTATTAAAAAGCGGGGAGAAAGGCAGTGATAGATCTCATTAGAAAGTAATGCTGCCCACCTTTTGAGGAGAGATCTACCCGTTGTGAGGTCTGAATTAAGTGCGAGCGAGCTGGTGGCGGTGGTGGTGGTCCAAAAGTCCTACTAAATACGAGGCAGAAGAAGACGACGGGTGGAATGGAGAGGGTGAGTTGTGAATCCGACCAAGCAGCAGCGGATGTCTTTGAGGTCCTCGGCGAAAGTATTTTCTTGTTATGTGAAGGGGATATTTTTTAATGTGGATTTTGTGCCAGAGCAGAGAAGAAGGATGATTTAGGGAAAGTATCATTGAGCGGAGAGAGCAAGGGAAATTGCATTTCTCTCTATCTCATTTCATAAAAAATAAAAAATCCCCCTCTCCACCGTGGCAACAAACATCAACTAAAACTCAAAGCTGCTGCTGAATCTGCTACTGCCTCCGAAACTCCCATCCCACCACCAAAACCAAGACAATGTCTCTTCTTTCTAATCATATTGTTGGGCGCAATCCCGACCCGACTCTCTCTCTCCCTTCTCCTCATTAAAAAACCAAAACTTTGTCCGAACTTCACAAATTCTACTATCTCCGACCCATTTTCAGACATCTATTGCATTTCCGTGATGCATACATTGTAATAATAATACAGTGAGCAAGAGGCTGAGCTCAAGAGAAAGCTCACATCGTGTACTTGGCTCGCTTCCCTCTCTCTCATCTGCATGCATGCATTATGTTTGCACACACACACATACGCACACACATCTCCAGAGCAAATTATGCACATCCATCCATCCCTCCGTCGTCGTCCATGGAACAACATCGTTTATTCTGTAATTACAAATCTGTACAAATTTCATTGTTTGTTTTCAGCTTGCTTTGCTTTATGCCACCTACTTGGAGCGAATCCGACACACCCTGGCCATTACTTATTAATGAGGGATGCACACTGCTCGATATTTGATACTTTTGATGAGTTCTGATATGCGACCCTCCCTCCTTTCTCCCTCCTCATTCTTCCTCGCCAGTATTGCTACACATGTTTTTTATATATGAAATACCGAATATTATGTATGGACGGATGGACGCCTGCAGATTTACTTTTCTTCCCCACCACCACCACCACCACCACGAACCAAGGAACATTTTTGGTGGGGGAAAGTTCAAGCGGATTTTAAAGTAGAAAAATGATTCTGCAGAGACGACGATGGCGACGACAACGACGACGACAAGCAAGCTCACCTCCATCAAGTGAATGGAGTTGAGATGAGGACTATTATGGTCTCATATAATATGTTATTATGACAGTTGTTCATTGGTCCAACCCAATCTCTTTTTCCTTTTTGATGTGCTAGTGTGTGGGGTGACGATTAGAGCGTGTATGTCGTTGTGTTAGACGAGCTGATGGAGTATGAGAGAAATCTTGACAGTGAGAGCAGTGGAGAAAACGACGATGATGATATTGGTCGAATAAGGTTGGTGGCTATTGTTGGCTTATCCAGGTCGTCGGGAGTAAAGATAAGGTGGAGGATAAGATGAATGGGAGAGAGCAACGTAATAACGTGTGTGATAGGGAATGAATGGTGGAGTGGGCCATTTGGTCGTAATGGGTCTCTGCTTGCCCAGATGAAATGTAACAATTTAGAGTGCAATTTCATTCAGGGACTGTCATCCCTATGTCCATTATTCATCAATAGAATGGAACCGGACTACTGACTCATCCACATCCATCCATCCGTCCACCATGGCCCACTTACTAATGAATATCTGTGATCAATCATAGGTCATGTCAACTCCTCTCTCATTTACACTTTTTTACTCCCTCGTCGACTCCCCACTGCATTCACATCCGTTGACACTGGCGGTGGTGAAACACACACAGAGGCGGCAACCATACTTGATCAGGTCCACTTTTTGGCTCAGCATCGGGTCTACTTTTTGGTTCGTCGACTGAGATCCAACTTGGGTTTCCGGACGACGACAGCAGCAGCGTGCATTGAACCATTATTATTATTATTATACGGACAAGACTGCTGCTGCAACGTGCATCCTCCACCAATGATTCTCCGAAGAGAATGGCTACGATGATGCAATGCATGCACCCATTCAACTCTACTGGGCACAAAACTAATCTTTATGTTCCGGTTTTTATTCCATTTACCATCGCCAAATCAAAATTGCCTCCGTTGGCTCAAATTTTGATTGATTTAATCCCTCTCTCCGTCCTGATTGCGTTTCACATTCATTGGGTTCCATCCGATTCCTTTCTTACATGCAAAGCAAGGATGTGCAACAGCCGTTTCATTTTACGACCCTGATCAAGTTCAACAAGCCGAAAGGGAAGCCAACCACCACCACCACCGCCAACCGACCTCACCATGCAACTCATCACCACCGTCGAATCCTCCCAAAGTCACAACCAACTCCATGTCCAAATGTGACCATTATTGAAGTGCAAGTACAAAAGAGTAAGTAAAAATAGCTCAAGTGGCCAAGACATGACCAAGAAGACCTCCCTGCTTCTCCCCTCGCAGCACTATTATTATTATTACTGCACATATCTGCTGCTCTTTCATGCCGTGGAAGCAATTCTTTTGTAGTGAAATAGTGGAGCGATTTAAGTTGTCCTGCAATTTTTGTCTGATTGACACGGAGAGGCAGGATAATTCAATAAGGTTGAGGAGCGGAGTGTGTGTGTGGAGAAGGATGGGGAGCTTCAGCTCAAGGACGCTGGTCAGGACGCAGGTCCTGTCAACTCGCATCATCTTGGTCCAC